AAGCGACCATGTAATATTCTGTTTATCATATAATTACATTTGAAAGCAAATTATGTCGTAAAATACCTTTTTCTTACTTCCACTATATAGAGAAACTTCGAATGTGTTATTTTCACTAGTGAAAATCTCAATACRAAATGGAGAAATATAGGTATTTCATACATTATTATATCATAAACTGAAATATTTGATTTGGAATTTTGTATTATATATTTAGTAGTTTGCCGCTGTCTTTTATGCACTATAACTTTACAAAACAATTGCGCACTTTGGGCCTGCCCCCTTATAATGATTACAATAATAATTCCCTCTTTTTTATTTCCCTCTTTTTATTTGAAAATAATGTCAGTGAATATTGAACGAATAAGAAAGCAGGATTGCTGTGGAATCACAAAACCACATTTAAAAGAACACTGAATTTCAATTGACGTATTTCTGTTCGAGGTTATCRAATGGAATTATAAACAACAACATAGCTTTATCTAAAGTAATCTAGATATAATCTTAACGGTCTTAAACAGATTCTGTTGACATAGCGGTAACTGTCGAAATCTTACAGGGGGTATACATGAAGTGTTGGAGCCTGGCCATTCATAAACCAGGAAATGTTTGGCTCACCGACAACAATATTTCATATAACCTCTTCATCATTAATAATCAAACCTATTTTTTAGAGGTCACGAAATTGAATTCTCAATAAACCGTACAACAAAGAAGMAAGGTTCTGTAGATWTTTTGACCGATCAAAGGTGTACAAATAATAACTAGCGAATCAGCGTTGCTATAGCAACTGTAATTAGCAAATAACTGGTTTATTTTGGTTAAATTTCATCATTCAAACTGAACTCGCGATTCCTTTTCAAAAACATTTATTTCGAAGGAATGTATTGGAACTGAAACAGCAAAGCGAATAATAAAGTCTTATAATAAGATTATAACACATTTTCTTAAGCTTCCATAAATATCTTTTGGATTGAAAACAAGGATAAATTATTCAAAATGTTTAATTTTGGTAATTTGAACGTTAAAAAGATTGGCTCGACAAGTTATTGAGCTGGGCGATTGATTTTCAAATRCTGGCTTATGATTTGTCAGTAATTATTAGCTGTGACATTATATCATCGGCTGATATGAATTGAGGTCTTGTTGGGAGACACCTTAAGGGGCTGACTAATGCCAAAACTGGTTTATAATTCAACATCTTTTTACTTTTATGCAAAGAAATATTGAGACTTTTTTCAAGGTTTTTATAGWCGCGAAACGTTGTTGTAGATAAGCATTATTCTTTAAGGAGTCGYTATAACCCTGTTCCCCCTGGAGGATGTAAATTCTTTTTCAACCGTTATTTTTTCTATAATTTTTCTCTAGCATTTTGTCAGTTTTTCATTTGTCTTCCGCAGAATTTCAGGCACTACGTCAAAACCAGGCAAAGAATAAATAGGAATAAAATAATTATTAAAAGAAAATATGGTAAAATACTATAGGACACAAAACGAGCCCACTGTGGGACCAGGGTYAGTCGCTAGTTCTGTCTGTGACCTTACGAGCATATTTTTTKGKGAAAAYGTTATGTGTTTTGGCAATAAATCTCTGATAAAAACAGTAYTATAACCAARCGAGGCAATTTTATGTYTTCCAGTCGCTTCCCACGCAAGATATTTCTGTTTTATTTGTACAAAAATAAGGTCAAGTCCTTACCTTTCTTGGAGCGTCCATCGACCATAGATTGAAATTCAGAACACAATATCAAGAAAGCCAGGAGAAATCCAACCAAACCTCGAGCYGCGATAATKTTCATGCTTTACATACCCTTTTCTCAACAGTATRAAAGGGTTTKAAGTTCCAGATGATCACAAATGACTAATGAACAGCYAGTRACCGTTGTCGTCCCCTTTCGTACAACTGACAATATGACAAGACGAACGTATCCTCGCAGAACGGAAGAGAGRAGTTCTTAAACAAGCTATCACCCGGAACGCACCTCAAAAATAGACAATGTTTTGTGTCAGGAGTAAACCTGGGCTGTGGGTTTGTGGGCGATGATTGAGTTGTCTACGTGGCCTTGAGCCGCCTCAAATTCACATGATGAATTACACGTGTTTCTCKAAGCGAGACAAAAATATTCCAGGAGGTTGGTTGTGTAACTGACTCTAGACAGCATTCAGCTTTGTTTCAGCTGAGCTTATAAGAGGGTATTTGCGGCAATGAATATCAACAATAATGATGATAATTCAATCAAAGACTATCATCACCACTATTTGTCTTATCATCGCCTATTGTTATGAAGTATTGTTAGTGTAACGTTTCCATAGCAGTGTCGTGTTACAATTGAAATACATAACATTCATTTTTATCGACTATTAAGGAAAAWAAGTACAAATAAAGACGCGAAAAATCAGTACCAACGAAAACAATAGAGAAATTAATAGGAAAACGAAGCGCAGAATCCAATGCAAATATAGTCGAATTGAGCAACAACATCAAAAGAGCACAAAAAAATCTTTTTATGAAACAATTCTGCATCGAGTATTACTCCATAATGTGAAAAACGTGCCTGGGTTAAAAACTACCTCGCTTAGACCGAGACCGAAAGGCAATATGCGGTCACGTATCAAGTACAGTTTGCGAAAAAATGCTCAGTTTTACTCAAATATTTAGAATACAAGAATTGTA